CCCTATCAGGAGAGGGTGATTTGTGTTCAAACCTGAACCTCTGGTCAACTCTCTTTCTCTCTCATTGTTTCTCTCTAGGCCCTGCCATACAGCCTGTATTTCCATTCAAAGAACTTTCCCACTTAGAAGAAAATATATGTGTTCACAGTGTTATCATTGCCTATGAGATGAAGGAAAAAGGGCTACATCCACTTACTATATGTGGGCTGATGTGTTAGAACAATAAATGAATATGGATTTCTTTTTTACAGCACAGTACATATAGAGTGAAATTTTTCTTCCCCTAGTCATGAAACCAATAGGATTATTAGCATAAGGCAGGCAAGGTTGTCAGGAGTGTTATTTCTGTAGTGAGAAAAATGTGTTCGGAAGTTTTCCAGCAACAGTCAAGCGACAAAGCAGAGCAAGATTCCAGTTAGATTACAATCTTCCAGGTTCTTCATATTTGCCAACTCTTCAAAGCCAATAATTCATTCATTTAGGGGAGTGAATGAAGGACACTTTTAAATTTCACTGAAATACAATAGACTAGGAAAACTGAGTGGAAATTTCCTTTAAAAATAGTTACCATGTCTGGTTCTTGTATTGACAGGCATTATATGTCACTATAAATGATTTCATTTCCTCAATAGCTGGTTATACTAGTTTCCCATTTTGTCTGTCAGCAGGCTTGCAGAAAATCTATGGTGTTAACAGATTTGGTAATGTTTTCTCATTTGCTGACAGAGCTTTTACTGGAGACAAAAGATATTTGATCATTTATAAACATATGCTAATGGTTCTGAACAAGGACATAGCTGCAAAAATGAGTTTTAACTTGTATGCTTCACATGTTTCATAATGTTACTTGACATTAGTTGGGCTTGCATTAAGTGGTAATTATTTTGTAACACACTTCTCTCATCACAGAATCAAGAGACATGCCAAGAATTATTAAGCAGAGGCACCTATTAACTGTACCTGTTGTCCCAACTTGATACACTGATTGCTTAATACTCACTTCCACCAGGTAGTAACAAAGTTCCCATCTGTGGCTTTTTATTCTGAGTGAATTTTTAATGTAACCCTTATCTGTTGTGGGTTGATAAGTAATGGTACCATCACTATTTCTACTGGAAACAAGGGCCACCTGTATGGTAAAATATTTTCCTCATATGATACCTTGTAATAAAAGGTACTATTATGTAGTCATTGACCTTACATTTGGATATTGTATATTTTTAATAAATTTTCAAAAACTGTGTAAGTGAATGTATTAAAAAAATGGTAGTGATTTTTGACCATGTACTGCAGATTCGGTTATTTTTAAATTGTGAATGACATCCACCCCTGTGCAGAGAGGCCAGTACAAGGTCTATGCACACTCACGTCTCACTTAACCCCTATTTTGAGGTGAATATTTCTCTGTGTGGAATTATCATAATCATAAAGACAAATATCCCTCAAAAAGAACATTTCCTCTCTCACACACATTGATTCCCACTTTAACCAGAAAACAACTATCATGATAGTTATAACCAAAGGAAATTCAGATTTTAGAAACATATCTAAAGACAGAATTTTCACATCAGTATTCAACTTACATGGCATGTTCAGAAAAAAGAAAAATCAAACCAATAATCCTATTTACAAAGATCCCTTGTAATGAATGCCACATTTTAGAAACACCACAGTTCCTCCCAAATCTATTCTTTCACAGACTATTTGGGAAAAAGGTGATTCAAGTTGAGTAAATAGTTTCCAGGCTTTCATTTGCCAGTGTCAACATTTCCAGCATCAGGAAATGGCAGTATAGGAGCTCATCTCAACCATCAACCGTTTCAAAATTGCCATCTTGACATACTTAAGCAGATAAGGGAAAGAACATGTTCTGGTAATTCCAGAGAAGTCCAGTTGACAAGAAGTTACCCAACAGCAGTGGAAATGATTCCACCCCTGGCAACTGAGCAAATCACACATGAAGCATCTCCAAGTAAACTGAATAAAAGGTCATAGCCCCAGCAGTGAGGATGACAGACCACTTTCAATTTATATATTTTTAATATAATGGAGAAATGGAGCATAATATCCTATCACAACATACTCATATCAAGTAATGCACTAATTTAGAATGCAGTGTTTTCAGGGAACAGCCAATTGAATGCTCTCCAAATATAGGGAATGACCATAGTTCACTATGGTCCACCCAAACTGTGATTCGTAAGCCGTGGGCAAAAAGCACACTTCTCCATCAGACCACACACCCAACTACAGTAACCTAACGTAGTTGGAAACTTTTCTGTCCTGATTCATCTTCCCATCTTAATCAGCGCCCATCAAAGTGCATAAGAATTGGATCAGGCCTGAAGTTAGTTCTGGCTCCTTAATGGACTAACCCATACCACATTGAACTTTGTACATTTTAGTTTAGGAAACTTAATTTTTTTAATACTACCTGTGGTTAATTAAAAACTCCCTCTTTGATCTCTTCTATGTGCAGTGCTGCCCACTTGTTTGCATCACTGTGTTTCTCATTCTGTACACACACAAGTATTGCCCAGAAAAATTAGATTGAGGAAAGCCAATTCTAAGCATTGTTCTCAGCCTCCCAAGGTCCAAATGTGGGACTAAGCTGAAACGAAGTACAAGAATAAATAGTACACAAACTGAAAAGGCTATGGGATTATTTTCTTCAACATAAATAACCATAAAACTTTTTATGATTCAGCCATTCTAAAGTCAATCTACACTAGTAAAAAGTGCAGCAGTATCAAGTACATGAGGTGGAATTAAATTTGAGTTTCAGAGAGCGAATACAAAATTAAAAGAAGTCTGGGGTCCATGGCCTGCTGAGTTGGTTCTTGAGATCCAGTAACATCCCCTCAGTTTCCTAAGAATTTAAGCTTTTATTTCATTTTTTATTTAAGTGAGATTTCAGCAGTGCTCAATGTTGGCTTAACTGACTTCAATGGGAGCAAAGTGTTTTTGGAAATCACACACTAATATTTAACTATGATGGTTGTGAAGAAAAACATATCATTATTCTCTATCTTCCTGAGTCCACAGTCTCACAGCCTGAATCAAGAGCTCAGAGATATAACCTTCCACTAATTTTTCAATGGGGTGTTGAATCTGATGTCTAATTATATCAATTTAATTATGTCACTATGGTTATCTGGTCACTGCAAGAAGGCGATGTCCCTTTGGAATTTGCCATGATGACAACAATGATGACTACAGTTAACTATAACATGGAAATCCAGTGTGGACTGCACTTAACCACCGGGATACATTCTTTAGGATTACATAAACTATTAGAGATGGAAAGGTATTAGGTCTGTGATACACAATCTGTGGCTACTCATTTCAATCTTTTTCTAGAGAAGCAGACTACCGGTAAGAATAGGTGAAAAAGTAGGAAGCACAGGCATGTTCTAGATAAAATGAACAGATGAGAAGTTTCAGGAGCAGCAGGCCAGGAAAGCTTTCGTCGGTGACATAAAGAGGGCTGCTATTTGTAAACGTCTCTTTGGAAGTACTTATGTTTGTGAACAGATATTTCTTCTATTTGGACTCTGCAGGGATCAAAGTGACCACAACATTGCGTAACAGACTCAAACTGTTCAAAAATAAAGCTCAGAAATAAAGCTGAACATCAAGAAGTTGCTTTCAGAGAAGCTGCGCCAGTTTTCCCAACTCTAGTCCTTCCCTGGCAACACTCCAAACACATTTGGTCTTTCTATAATTTTGTGTAACACTGCATGCTAATAGCACTCTATAAACACATTTTAAAAATGTATAATTTTCCTCAAACTAAAATCCTAATACATTTATTATGTAAATTATGTAGCCCCTTGCATTTCTAGCAATTTACCAATCTGGCCTTCACTGCTGTGAAGGCTGGGCTTCAATGGAATAATCTAAATGAAAAACAGTATCTAGCCACAAGGGGACACTGTGACAACCTGCCGCACATTACTGCTTTCCTCCCATCTTCCCCTACCCAGCAGGACAATTATGAAGGTACTTGCTTTATGAATGAAGCCAACAAGGAACCAGTGCTGCTTTTGTTTTCCAGTTACCTAAATAGGTCAGTAGATTACTGGTTAATCATTAAAATTATTAAGCACAGCCTACTAAACAGGACATTTTCCTCCACACTAATTACCTAGTATCAACAGAGATTTAACATTTTCCTCAAAGGAAACCCATCCTGAGTGCTGTGCACCAAACCAGGAGATGCTATATTGTTATTTTTTGAACTTTAAAAATCTAAAAGAAAACAGTGATGCTTGGCAGAAATCTTTGCCCAGTCAATGACAGTTTCCTTTGACAAGACTTCACTGGAAGGTATGGTGGCCTTTGAGAAGATTTTCAGATGAACAACAAGCTTCTGTCATTAAAAAATAAAAATTACAGAAACATGAGGAGCACCATTACAATGTATCAGAAACATATGGGACAATTTTTGTAAGTAACCTAGGAATCTAAGTCCCATTTTCAAAAGTGACCTAAGTCTCATTGACTTTCAATGACAATTAAGCTCCTAAATCACTTTTGAAAATGGTTCTTAGGTGCTTTGGAAAATTTTAACCCCATTATATATGGCTAAGGTGACTGGGAGATGGTTAGCTGTGCATCTTTAGAGATAAACCCCAAGATGCAGACCCTCAGCTGATGCAAATCACCATAACTTCACTGGCTTCAATAGAGCCATGACAATTTCTGCCACCTGATTCGGGGGTATGGATCAGCGTTCACGTTGCACTCCCCATCGGTACCCAGCTGCCCAGGCTGTGGAAGCTAATGATCAAACCAGTGGACCAAATTTGGTGATGAAGTTCATGTGGCACCTGAGGCACATTGCACATATGCTAAGAAGAAGATGCCACCTGAGGACCTGCCCCCAGACAGAAAACTTAATATTCTTATAATACATAGAACACTTGTTATTACAGAGATAACCAATACAATAATCAGAAGTTTCCGCACTTCTAAAGAGATTTCCTCCATCCTCTCACCTTTGGCTTTGGATTTCCAGCCACTCTGCATGTAAATGTGACTGACATTCCTTCAAAGATTTTGTAATGTTTCAGCTTCATCTCAAAATATGGTGCCACACTGTTATCAGTGGGCTCATCTCCATGCTGCACCTCATCATCCGATTCCTCCACAGGAGACCTCTCCAGGCGGTATTCAATCTCACTGATCAGTCTCTGCTCAAAGCTGGAGACTTTATACTCCTACCGAACAAGGAAGGTTCACGTTAGTATCTGTCGTCATTTACTACATAGTATGATATGATTCTAATGAATTTCTTTCCCTAGGTCTTTGACAATTGGTTAGGATCTTACATATAGAAGGAAATCGTATTATGTAGAAGAAAAACATAACAATTTGTGCCCAAAATGAATTCGTTATAAAACAATGAAAACATCTGGTACTAGGCATACATTTTATTTTATGTTGTCCTAGGGTCTAATTCATAAGAAAGAAAGAAAGAAAGAAAGAAAGAAAGAAAGAAAGCCATTGGTTGCTTTCCTTCCTCTCTTTTTTTTTCCAAACACACAAAGCATAAAATCATATATTCTTAAACAGTTCAGAAAGAAAAAAACACTGATTTTTCCGGTAGGGTGTAGGCAGATTTAGGGTGGGGTTTGTCTCCAGATGGCCAGGAGACCATATGGTTCACAGCTGGAGTTTGTGAAGAACCTTATTGCAAGTAGTACAATAAAAATACCATTATTTTGTTTACATTCTCCCTGAGCAGTGACAAAACTACATTACTGGCATATGACGACAACTGCCATATTTTTCTCATGTCTCCAGCCCCAACCCAGTTGCTGCCACAGATTGCCCTTGCTTAAAAAACAGTGACACACACACACACACACTATACAGTATATTGTTTATTTCACACTAAACATTCCCTATATATATATATAGGGAATGTTTAGTGTGAAATAAACATATGGCATATGACGACAACTGCCATATTTTTCTCACGTCTACTGATTTGTACCCATACTCTGCATCTAGACATATTTGAGGTGGGCTTTATGGTGAGTGAACTGAAGACTAGAGAGCAGCAGAAATCTTTATTTATCATTGATTTTCTTAGGCTGTAGAAACTAGAACACCCTTTTGTAGGTTTTATATTCTTTCTAACCATTCTTTTTCTTATTACTATTGGTATCTCATGTAAAGTCTCCTTTCACAGATCCTCCCTCTACAAATTAATTTGATCTGGCTGATGACATTAAGCCCCTCATCGCTACCCCCTGACTTGGTTATAGAAAATAATGATCACTTTGTGCAGGAAAAAAGTGAGAGAAAAGTTGGATTTGGGTTATAACAAACATTTTTACCTATTTCTTTACAAATTTTCCCATGAAATTTTATCCAACTATCTCATTCTACATTACTTAGATGAGCCAATGCAGGATGCAAAGCATCTTGCGTCAATGGATCTCAGAATTACTGGGGAAAGACATTTGTACAGAGAGCTATAATGGTAGTGTTGTTAAAGTTAATCTGTCTGCAGTTGCTTACTAAATATTAAATTAAACACCATGTGTGTAAATGCACCCAGAAATAAGTTATTAATGTTTGACCACTGCAGTGTTATTAAAGAAGGAGGGTAAAGGTGAAAGGTACAGGAGACAAAAAGTCAATAGATAAAAAAAGCAAGAAAGAAGAAAGATGAAAACCTTTTGATTATCCACAGGACTCATTATAGAAGCATCAAGAGAGCAAGCTTCCTGTAAGGGCAGAAAGAAAATGAAGGCTAGCAGTAAGAAGATCAAGAGGAATCCACTACAATTTCTGGGAGTTCTTTCAGAAGAAAGTAATGCATGTGGTAACATAAACAAATGAATGGCTGAACAGCAACACTGGCAACAGAGCAAAAATGGAAAATGGGTTACTTGGCTTTTTAAACAGACTTTCTGCTACACTTCTGATTTTGGTTTGCACACAACAGTACAGATTACATGCATAAAAGACAAGTTAGTCTCAAGATAACAGAGGATGTATTTTTGCCTTGAGAAACTGAAGGGTCAGGATAGGATAGGATAAAAAGAAATGAAGCTCAAAGTGGGAAGCAGACATTTGAGAACCCTTTCATCTTATTCAGTGTGGAAAAACTGAGCAATAAGCATGGTATTCTCCACTTGATTGCTTTTGTGTATAACTCACAACTCCTTTAGTCAAATCCGTCCTGTCTTGTGTGTATCTATCCTACCATACGGAGCTCTCTAGTAGAATGTTGTCTGAAAGGAACAATGAAAAGGAAATGAGTATTTTACTGTGCAAGTGCAGAGTTATGTAGCACCTGTGTAGTGGGCTCTTCGTCTGGTTCCTGTATATTAAAGACAGTTGCAGCACTGTCAGCACCCAGTAGTCGACGTGCCATCTTCTCCTCATATGTTAACCTCTGAACCAAAATAAAACAAAAAAAGGGGGTGGGAGGAAAGGAAAGTGGGGAAGGGGAAGGGGAAGTAAAGGAAAGTTATTTTTTCTCTTTTAAAAACCACACAGCAGGTAACTTAAAGAACAACCAGTGTTCACATGGGAAAATCTGAGAATCATTCAGTTTAGCAATAAGTTAGCTTCTGTGTCATATTTTCTGTAGTGCTCAAATGTATTGCTGAGATGAAAACAGGATCTTTATTTCTTAAAAATCCATCTCCTCTTAAGTTATTACTCTTATTTGTGTCATCAACATAATTTCCACAGAAAGCAATTACACTCCCAAACACAATTACCACTTCAGAGGAGAAACAAGCAGGTCTCAAAGCCCAGGCTCCAGCCCAAGTGAGAACATCTACACTGCTATTTTTAGCCCCATAACCTGAATTGACCTAGGCTCTGAGACTCGCTGCCATAGGTCTTTTTTTTTTCCAGTGTAGACATACCCCAAGAAACCTAAGATCCGTTGATTATCAATGAGATTTCAATGACTTCTATATCACTTAGACGCTTTTGAAAATTTTGCCCCTCATTTACAAAATGGGGATGATAATCTACAGCATTTAAGTAACCTTCATTATTTAAAATAAATCACAAGATGTCAATAGCTGATTCTTAGACTACTTAAGGTTTCAAAGACACTTAAAACAATCCCTTAACTGAAAAATTCACACAAGGTTTGGGAAAGTTGGTGTGTCTGAACAACAGGTGAACTTTCTCAAAGGTAAATTAGAGACTAATTTTATTTACGTCTTACAATGCATAGAGAAATAATTGGCTCAAAACCTTGTAGATGTGCACATGGCTAATCTGTAACCACATGCTTCCTATCAGCATTTCTTCCAATTGTTTGTTACACCCACTTGTTTTGTCTTGTCTTAAAATTAGATTGTAAGGTTTTTGAGGCAGGGACTATGCCTAGTGCAATGGCCCTAATCCTGATGGAGCCTCTGGGCACTATTGTAATACAAATAATAAATTATCTGAGAAACTATGCCCAATCCCCCCGTTACATGTTAGGTTTAAATACCGGCTGGCCATTGTTCAAAAGTTCTTCCTTGAAACGAAGTTTTCTTTCCAGGTCTTGTATGACAGCATCTTTTGTCCCTTGAATCTCTTCGTCAGATGCTATCCTAGCAGTTCTGCCTGTTTTCTTTGGAAATCCCCTGCAACACAATACAAGAAAGTAATGTTTTTTATTAAACCATTAAGATTTTAAAATATCTGGGTAAAATCCTGCCCTTACTGAAGTCAATGAGTTTTTGACATTGACGTCAGTAGGGTCAGGATCTCACCTACCCTGTCCAAACTCATGAAATTCAAGCTGTGAACCTGATATTCTAATTTTTTTTTTAACTATATTCTTTGTGTTGTTACCACAGTTGTTACCACAGTTATCAATAATAATGCAGAAGCTTAGTTGAAGTCATACAATTGTTCTTCTAACTCACTTTGTTGTGATCTGAGGGTCAGTTCTATGGCAAAAGTTTAAATGTTTGTTTTTGATTTTTTTCTCAAGCATTAGTTCAAATAGGAGTTGAAATGGTGCTGAAGCGGGTGCCAACATAACACATACACAAAATAGCAAGCAAAGTTAGCGATGACAATACAACAAACATGATAACAGCGCCTGTAAAGAAGGCATGACTAGTTGAGCAAGAGTGAAAGGGAAAGGGGGGTGTGCACTGTACATACTGTTGCCCCTTTTCGACCTGAATGGGTGGTCAAATTTCAGGGCCCTGGGGACATTCCAGTTGGAAGTACAAATTGGTGGAGTCTGGTATTTTTTTTGATGCAACTTTGTTTATTTACAAAGAGGTATCAAGTTCTGCTTCTCCAAATGCAGGAGAAACCAAAAACAAAAGGAGCAGTTTCTTAGCTTACAGCCCCCAGCCTCGTTTTGTCTTTGATCTCTAACTTTTTCTCAGGCCATTCCTCTGGGTCAGAGCGAATGGGTAGTAAAACAAGATGAAGAGCTTGCACATTTCAGCACCTGTAGGGTTGGCAGAGTAAAGATATGTATTTAACAGGACATATTGGGGCCCTGCTGAAAGAGGGCCGGGTTGAAGGTTTTCAGAAGTTTGAGTTTTACTTAACTGAGCATTCTGCAAGGTGGTGACATACCACCAAGCAACTTTAACTCTGTGTTAATGTAGAGTTTTGCCACTGAATTGCCTAGGAAAAGATATGTTATTGGTAGAAGTTAGTAGTCATTTAGGCAGCTGTTCATATCATGTCCCACAATTTGCATACTGAAACAGCCAGCACTGCCTCTCATAGGCTGGGCACCACCAGCCCGGCTTAAGCGGTCCCCGCAAGCTATGGCTCTGACCCATTCACTGTGTTCCCCCCTACAATTTAGCTCCCCCCCACACACACACACTGCAAGCAGAGGCTAGTAAAGTACAGATTTTCTCAAAAACCACCAATCCAAGGCTTGCCTACCACCGGTTTCCATTTCCCACCCCTTCTGCAGCTGCAACCCCTCTCCCTTTCCCGGTCCCTACCTCCCCTCAGAAGTCCTCTAGCTCCTCCCCATAACAAAAATGTTGGTCAGACTGCCTGCTGACTATTCTACTGTGTTCACAGTAAGCCTCCCCATAAATTAAAAACACGTTACAACAGAGAACTCATGTATCAAGCAACATGAGTTATTAAATCTTTATTGTACAGGTGTACAAAGTTTGGATTAGATATGAGCATGAGCCTGAACGTCTACACCACAATTAAACAGCCCCTTATTGTGAGCCCAAGTCAGGTGGCACAGGCCCCAGGTGTCTATTTGCAGTATAGACCCCTTAGAAAGGTCAACATTTAAGGAGAAGTTGTGATGCAATCTTAACTAGAGTGGTGTAGCCTCAGCACTATAATTAACCCATGTTACTGTTTGTGAATACATAGTGTGTAACAAAGTTTTCTCTTCCTTGCACAGCTGGAAAATGACACGGCAATACTGTTTCTGAAAGACTAGTCAGCCCCAGAGCCTGCTTTACACTGGGAAACTAAACCAGCACTGAAAGCACTTTTCAACAGTGTGGCCTCCTGATGGGAAAACAACTGTTTAAATGCTGGTATACAAAGAACAAAGCTGTTCTCCATACCATTGCAGAAAGCATGATCACACTTTCAGAAAGTCTCCGTCCCACTATCTGGAGTGATTGAAAATGGTTTTGTCTAGTCTGCACTAGCATCAAAACCATTTTCAGTACTTGTACAAGGGATTCACTACTGAAAATAATGGTTAAATTTTCTAGTGTAGACAAGGATATACTTATTCAGTTCAAGCAGTGTGGAACTGAACATTTCAGTCAGCCTCTGCATTTTTAAAACAGTAGCACACCAGGGTTCCCATCTGCAGCCTGATGAAGTAGCATAATGCCACTGTAATCTCTGATACTGGCTCAGTGCTGGATTTTCAACACCCCAGTTTTTGAGGGCTTTTGGATCTCTGATTTTGGTGTAGCCCATTATAAAGAGAAACGCTTTGCAAAATACGTAACTGGATCCAGGTCAGATTCCAAACATCCACACACTTTGGGGTGTTTAGACCTGGGGTTTTGGTCCGGACTCATTTTTATTTAAAAGTGAAACTTTTCTCCTATTGTGAAAATGTTAATGGGATGATAGAAAAAAATCATGCTCTCCTGGTTTGTGCTGTTGCTAGGAACATTTAAAATTATTTGGAATTTAGGATTCATAGATGATAAAGATGGAAAAAGATTCCAATTGTGTTAGAGCATCTCAGTCCATCTTCCTGTCAAAACATAACTAACTTGTCAACTGCTGGTGCTGGATCTTTTAAAATTAATAATAAAATGGAGATACCAAGTATCAGGTAGTTACCTGAAAATATTTCTATCAACTGCAGTCATGTTTCCAGGATAGGGGCAGGAGGTCATTCCTTATATATAGTCTTGTACTATAATTTTAGTGTTTATTAAGCTGATAAAGTAGAAATGAACTGTCAGAAACCAATACGAAAACAAGTTAATTGATGCAGAAGACTATAATTGGACTCTTTCTGCTTGAAACATTTTATATTCTGTTACTGAAAGTAAATTAATAGAGTGGGGAAATGGATAGGTTACTGTTTAAAAAACTAACATTTTCCACATCAGCTGGTGACATACAGGCTATTTTGAGAAGCAAATCACAAGTGACTAATATACAACAATACATTAAGAAACAAAGCTTTCATATCACATGCTACAACTTCATATTTTAAATCACTAAATTCAAGAAGCAGCTTAGCAAAATATATCTAGGTCTCAATCATCCCATGCACTAACTGGCACACAGATGTCCAAAAAGGTATAACCTACAATAAGCCCAAGAAAGTTATGCAAGTTTCATGAAAAGAGGGGTGTTATGCTGCCACCGTGCCAGCACTATTTCAGTTTTGCACAGCACATGGGAGCTCGCATGGAAGGACTGTGGTCACCCAAGGCTTAGGCTTGGTGAGGTCAAGGCAAGATAACATGTAACCGCCACCTTTCATTTAAGATAGTGGTAAGAAATACTATAGCACTTCTATAAAACAATAGCAGCCCCACCCAAAAGACAGGCACACTTCCCAGAACAAACTCATACATTTCACTGCCGAAAAACAAAGGCACATGTGAGACCGCTCAGGAATACGAACTATACGGGAGAGAGGGTTGGCTGAGTATTGGTTTTAATAGAGATGTGCATGTCAGAGAGAATGAGACAGACAGAGAGAGAGAAGCAGAAAGAAAAACACCACAGAAACAGACAGAGGCCCTGCGTACACTACAGGCACTACAGCTATGGCACTGTAGGAACTCTACCTCCGTAAGCAATGGTAGCTAGATTGATTAGGTTGACATAGCTGTGGTGCTGAGGGATGTGGATTTTTCACACCCCTGAGCACTGTCGCTATGTTGACCTAACTGTTAAGATTGGACCAGGATACAGAGAAGGAGCAGAAAGTCAGTGACAACCTGAACAAGCACTCAGAGCATAGCCCTGAGAAAATCTTACAGAGAGCTTTTGGGACAAGGCTGATTGAAAAGGGGTTGGAGCTGTGAGCAAAGAAGCTATCTCCTATTTGATTCCTCCAGTGTTCAGAGAAACAGGCCTCTGTACATTCTTTGTAAACAAACAGAATTGCATCACAGATACCCATCTCACTCATCAATTTAGGGTTACCATTTGTCCGGATTCCCCCGGACATGTCCGGATTTTAGAGCTAAAAATAGCGTCCGGGGGGAATTTCTAAATGTCCGGACTTCCCCCCGGGCTCCGACAGCCAGAGACAGCCCCTCCTTCCCCCTGCAGCAGAGATCGCTACCTCCCTGCATTTGCAGATCACCAGCCGGCCGTTCGCACCGGCAGTCTGGAGCTCCTCCCCCTGCTCTTCCTCCCCGGCAGGCTGGTCTGAGCGGCAGAGTAAGGAGGCCAGGGAGTCAGAGAAGGGGCAGGGAGGTTCTGGAGGGAGGAGTCAGAGGACGTGAGATGGGTCGGGAGTTCTGGGGAGGGGCTGTCAGGGGGTGGGGAGTGGTTGGATGGGGCGTGGGAGTCCCGGGGGTCTGTCTGGGGGTGGGGGTGTGGATAAGGGTTGGGGCAGTCAGGGGACAGGTAGGGGGTAGGGTCCTAGGGGGCAAATTAGGATGGGGGGAGGGTCTCAGGAGGCGGCAATCAGGGAACAAGGAGCAGGGAGGCTTAGGTAGGGGGTGGAGTCCTGGGGGGCAGTTAGGGGCAGGGGTCCCAGGAGGGGGCAGTCAGGGAACAAGGAGCAGGGGGAGGGTTGGGGTTCTGAGGGGGGCGGGGAGTGGAAGGGGCGGGGCTAGGGCAGGACGGGGGGGGCTAGGGCAGAACGGGGGCTGGGCTCCTCCCGTCCTCTTTTTTCTGTGCTGAAATATGGTAACCCTAATCAATTTCTACTCCTAACAGAAACAACCTCCAGGGCCCCGAGCTTTGGCCACACGCTTGAGTCAAAGGGGGTAACAATATGTTTATAAACAAAATTTATGTAGATTTACAAAACATGAATCAAACAATGGAGGTAGCTACTTCAGGCAACCTGCCTTTGACATATAACTATAAAAAAATGTATACAGCTAGCAGCCCTCAAAAGCCTTAGCAAATAGATATGCCTTGTAACAACTCTGGACTGTTTTGGACTGGGGCTGGAGAGAGAAGGGGA